TTTCTTGTGGTCACAGGCAGTGGCCCATACTGACCTTATCCCTTGCCATTCATGTCTAGTAGGACCCATATAACTGTGAGATGAGGGGAAGGGAGAAGAGCAGAGACAGAAGGAGGGGTTATTTATATCAGGGATAAGAGTGAGAGTGACTTCCTGGCTCCCTTTGCATTATGATGCCAAGATGATGAAGGGTAGAAGAAACAAAAAAAACAAAACAAAGACAAAACCCACAAGATACAGTTTTAGATATCTTTGGCCACTGCCTGCCATAATGTTCCCTTGTATCTCTCTCTCTTGTTCCAGAATGATATTTTGGATCTTAGAGCTTCCCGGACACTTCAGGCCATGAAAAGAAAAGAAAAGAAAAGAAGGGAAAGGAAAGGAAAGGAAAGGAAAGGAAAGGAAAGGAAAGGAAAGGAAAGGAAAGGAAAAGAAGATAAAGGAAAGGGGGAAAGAAAGAAGGAGAGAGAGAAAGAAAGAAAGAGAAAAAAAGAAATTGTCCTGCATAGGCCAACTGACCCAGTTTAAAACTTCAGTGTCCTATTCCATTAAAAAGCTCTTCATTACCTGCTAGCCAAGGCTCAGCCTCAAGAATGGCTGGCAGTGAGGAGAGAAACCTCTGCTCTTTGCTCCTGCAAGGCCCCCTCTGACCCTTCTTTCTTCTCTGCAGGAGGGAATAGAGCGTAGGTATCACCTACCTGATACTGTGGTCAGCCTTCCTCAGATAGACCCTCCCTTGGCTATGGTGATGCCCAAGCTGGCTGCCTCACTAAGGTGACTTTCTTGGTGTCCTCTTGGCACAGGATCTCACCTGTTTTCTCCCATAGCCCCCTCTACTCCTTGTTTCTCTTACTCAGTGGGAGCAGAGGACAGATGAGCAAGTCCCCACCCTGTAAGACAGCCACTGAGCAGGGGATGCCAACATACCCTTCAGGCAGGCCCTGGCCCTGAAGAGCCCTTCCCTTGGGAAACTTCACCTACTCTGCTTGGTAGCATCACCTTTCCTTTCAGAGCAGAGGAGGGAACCCATGACCTGCTATCAGGGCCAGCTCCATACCCCAGTGCTGCTGCCAACCTCTTTATATCCTGCCTGCCTGCCTTCTCCAGGCTGGGGGAAGGCCCTCAGGGTAGGTCTGGAAATTTCCTGAAATATGTGCATGGTGCTAGGGGGCTGTTAATTTTAGTTTCAGAGTTTAGGCACAAGTTAATTCAGAAAGTCTTCATTGATAGCTTTGATCAAGAACAAGACTGTGAGGCTTGGTGTAGTGGTTCACATCTGTAATCCTAGCGCTCTGGGAGTTCAAGGTGAGTGGATTGCCTGAGGTCAGGAGTTCAAGACCAGCCTAAGCAAAAGTGAGACCCCATCTCTAAAAAAAGATACCTGCGTGTCGTGGTGGGTGTCTGTGGTCCTAGCTACTCGGGAGGCTGAGACAAGAGGATCATTGAACCCAAAAGTTCAAGGCTGCTGTGAGCTATGATGCCAGGGCACTCTACCAAGAGGAACAAACTGAGACTCATCAAAAAAAAAACAAAACAAACAAACAAAAAACCCCAAGACTCTGTCTCTACAAAAAATAGAAAAGCTAGCTGGGCGTGGTGGCACATGCCTATAGTCCCAGCTACTGGAATGAGGGGGGCTGAGTCAGGAGGATCACTTGAGCCCAGGAATTTGAGGTTGCTATGAGCTATATTCATGCCTCTGCCCTCCAGTTTGGGTGACAGAGTGAAACTCTGTTGAAAGAAAGAAAAGAGGCTCGGTGCCTGTGGCTCAAGCGGCTAAGGCGCCAGCCACATACACCCAGGGTGGCGGGTTCGAATCCCCAGCCCCGGCCCGCCAAACAACAATGATGGCTGCAATCAAAGGATGGCCATGCGTTGTGGCGGGCGCCTGTAGTCCCAGCTACTTGGGAGGCTGAGGCAGGAGACTCGCTTGAGCCCAG